TTCTCTGGAGTCATTTACTATAGGCTGATTACCCTTTGCTGAGTACATATCGTATTTGTCTTTCTGGGTCTGGGTTAATTCACCCAGGATGTTTTTTCTAGTTCCATCTATTTGCAAGCAAATTTCAAGATGGCATGTTTTTTTTTTATTAAATTTATTTATTTATTTTTAATACTACTCCATTACACTACTCCATTGTGTATATTTGCCACACTTTCTTTATCCATTCTTTGGTTGAGGGGCATCTAGGTTGTTTCCAGGTTCTGGCTATTACAAATAATGCTGCTATGAACATGGTTGAACAATGTCCTTGTGACGTGATTGTGCATCCTTTGGGTATATGCCAAAGAGTGGTATTGCTGGGTCTTGAGGTAGAATAATACCCATTCTTTGGAGAAACTGCCACACTGATTTCCAAAGTGGCTGTACAAGTTTGACCTCCCACCAGCAATGGAGGAGTGTTCTTCTTACTTGGTATCTTCTCCAGCTTAAGCTGTCAGTGGTGTTTTTTATTTTAGCCATTCTAATTGCTGTAAGATGGTATCTCAGAGTTTTTTTTTTTGATTTGCATTTCCCGGATGGCTAAGGATGTTGAGCAATTCCTTTAGTATCTTCCGGCTATTTGAGATGTTTTTTGTTGAAAATTTCCATTTGGAACTATACTCCATTTTAAAATTGGATTATTTGGCTATCTTAATGTCTAGTTTCTTGAGGTCTTTATATATTTTAGAGATCAACCTTCTGTCCAATGTGGGGTTGGTGAAGATCTTTCCCCATTCTGTAGACTGCCTTTTTGTCTTATTGACCATGTCCTTTGCCTTACAGGAGCTTCTCAGTCTCAGGAGGTCCCATTTATTAATTGTTACTCTCAGTGTTTGTGCTGCTGATGTTATATTTAGGAAATAGTTTCCTGTGCCCATGCACTGAAGGCTACTTTCTACTTTCTCTTCTATGAGGTTCAGTGGAACTGGATTTATGTTGAGGTCTTGGATCCATTTGGACTTAAGTTTTGTGCATTGGAATAGACATGGATCTCTCTTTATTCTTCTACATGCTAACAACCAGGTATGCCAGCATCATTTGTTGAAGAAGCTTTCTTTTCTCCATTGTATAATTTTAGCTTCTTGGTCAAAAATCAGTTGTTTATAGGTGTGTGGACTAATATTAGGGTCATAGATTTGATTCCATTGGTCTACCTGTCTGTTTTGATACCAATATCAGGCTGTTTTAATTGCTATAGCTCTATAGTAGAGCTTAAAGTCAGGGATGATGATGTCTCTGGAAGTTCCTTTATTGTACAGAATTATTTTGGCTATCCTGGGTTCTTTATTTTTTCCATATGAAGTTGAGCATTGTTTTCAAGGTCTGTAAAGAATTGTCTTGGGATTTTGATAGGAATTGCCCTGAATCTATAGATTATTTTTGTAAGAATGTCATTTTTATTATGTTGGTCCTACCTATCCAAGAGGATGGGATATCTTTCCATTTTCTGATATTGTATTCAATTTCTTTTTTCAAAGACTTAAAGTTTTTTCCATGCAGGTTTTATACTTCTTTTGTTAGTATTACAAGATATTTTATGTTATTTGTGATGATTGGAAGGGGTGATGTGTAGCATGGTTAATAAAAACCCAGGGACAGAAATTAGGATTCAACATGAAGGCCAGAAAAGCAAAACAGCCGGCCACTGGCTCTTACCTCTACCTCAGTCGAGATGGTGATCCTGACTGCAGAAATCTCAGAATGAGACTGTGTGTAAGAGATGTCTCCTCCCATCTTATAGTCTTCTCTAGTGCTGGGATTAAAGGTGTGCACCACTACTGTCTGGTTTCTATAGCAAATCAGTGTGTCTACTGGTATTAAAGGTGTGTGTCCCCACTGCCCGGTTTGTAAGGCTGGTCAGTTCGACTGTTTTACTCTCTGAAGTTAAGGCAAGCTTTATTTATTAATAAAAAGATGAAATATCACTACAGTGATGTTTCTCTGATTTCTTTCTCAGCCTGTTATCATTTGTACATAGGAGGACTACTTATTTTTTTTTTCTTTTTGAGAAGATCTTGTATTCTGTCACATTATCAAAAGTGTTTATCAGTTAGTTGTAGGAGTTCCCTCATAGGATTTTTGGGGTCAATTATATATACTATCATATCATCTGAAAATAGAGAAAGTTTTACTTCTTTTTCAATTTGTGTCCTTTTGATCTCCTTTTATTGTCTTATTGCTCTAGCTAGAACTTCAAGTACTATGATGAATAGATATGGAGGGAGTGAACTACCTTGTCTTGTTTCTGATATTAGTGTCATCTCTGAGTTTCTCTTCATTTAATTTGGTGTTGAATGTTGACTTGATGTAAATTGCATTTATTTTGTTTAGATAAGTTCCATGTTTCCCAGATCTCTCCAAGACCTTTATCATAAAAGGGTGTTGGATTTTGTTGGATACTTTCCAGTATCTAATGAGATAAAAGATCCCAACTTTCCAAAGTCCCAGAGGCTTAAAAATTTCAAGCACCTTAAAAGTTCAGTGTCTTTAAAGAATTCAAATGTTTTTTTTAGAAGTTCAAATCTTCTCTAAAATACCTAGTCTGTAGAAATTTTAGAGAAACTACTTGAAATTTCTCAAAAACTCTAAAATATCTTTACTGTGGGCTCCAAAAAAGTAAGTTACATACATTCTTAGTCCAGGAGGAAAGAGCCAGGGCAGAATCACAATCAGATCAAAGAGAAACAAAAGTCAAATAGTGTGAAGATCAATGTCAGATGTCTTAATCACACCATCTTCTGCACTCTAATGGGTGTGTAACAAAGCACACATAGAATGTGTCATTGGGTCAGACTGTCCTTGGTGGTCATCCAAGCATCTATAAAATGTTGAGCTGTGCATGACAACTGGACTGTACCTTCATCAATAGCCTTTGCTGGGCTCTCTTCAGGGACAGTGACTTTACCACATGTTGCCAATGCCAAGCTGCTGTCCATGGTTCCTTCATGTCTTCAAAAACATCATCCAGAGATACTTTTTTTTTAGTTTCTAATTTTCCATTGAAAATATCTTCTTATACACTATAATTTGGTTACAATTCCTCCTCATCCAACTCTTCCTAGACACTTATTTCCACCTCCCCTCCCACCCAAATCCATATCCTTTCTCTCTTTCATAACAAAACAACCAGGTATCTAAAATAGTAATAATAAAATAAAACCAGATTAAATAAAGACAATACACTGGAATAGGGCAAAACAAAACAAAACAAACAACAACAACAAAAAAAAACAGAAGAAAAAGAGTTAAAGAAAAAACACAAGAAACTCATAGATGCAGAGATACAAAAATTTGCACATATAGAAATCTATAAAACAACAAACCATAAAATCATAAAGTGTGTGCTACATATACACAAAGACCTACCTTTAAGGTAAAGAATAACAAAAAATAGAACCTCTGAAATGCCACTGAGTTATTTTGTATTGGTCATCTACTGCTAGATATGAGGCCTGCCCTTAAGAGTGGTTTGTATACCTTGTAAGACTCCATTAGAGATAACTGGTTTTTCCTTCACAAGCAATTGGAGCTAGTTTCTTGGAGGAAGAGGCTTGTGGAGGCATATGTCCCCTTCCTCTCTCAGTTCTGCGACCCCATTTGGCTTGGACCTGTGCAGGCCTTGTGCATGCTGCCACAGTCTCTGTGAGTTCATGTGTGCATCGGTCCTGTTCTGTCAGGAAGACATTGTGTCCTTGGCATCATTCATCCCTGTAGCACTTACTATCTTTCCATTTCTCTTTTTCTACATAGTTCTCTGAGCCTTGATAGGAGAGATTTGATGGAAACATCCCATTTAGTATGTTCCTCTCTCTCTCTCTCTCTCTCTCTCTCTCTCTCTCCATATTTTCCACTTGTGGGTCTCTCTATTTTCTCCTATCTACTGCAGGAAGAAGCTTCTCTGATAATGACTGAACAAGACACTTATCTATGAATATAACAGAATGTTGCTAGAAGAAATTTTATTTCTATATTTCTTTAGCAAAATAGTAGTATTTGGTTTCCCCCTAGGTACATGATCTACTTAGTCTCAGGTTCTTAACTAACTATATAGTGTTAGGGATGAGTCCCATATCATGGAGTGAGTATTAATTAAATTATATATTAGTTAGTTATTCCCCAAAACTTTGACACCTAGAAGACTATTTTATGTTTTCAAGTTTGTCTGCCAGCACAAGGTACAGCCTTGGCCTGCTCTCAATCACAGATTTTGTGTGCTGACCCTGAATAAACACTCCCAAAAGATTTTACTTAAATGATACTTCTCTCTCTCTCTCTCTCTCTCTCTCTCTCTCTCTCTCTCTCTCTCTCTTTCTCTCTCTCTTTTTATCACTGATGATTCTTTAGACCACTACAGATTATCCCAGGAAAGGAAAGTTTTTTCCTTAGTGGTCCTGTTTTCTTGTTAATCACAGTTAATTTTTCACCTCCAGCTAGCCAGAACCACAAATTCTTTATTCAAATTTGCATGTCATGTTCCCAAGAGACGTTTTGCTTCCATCCAAAACTTCACGAGCCAGGCTTCTGTCATCTGTATTGCTTTCTGATTCTCTTTCCAGTTACCAGAACATCCCATTAATCTCTGAATATCAATGGCTTTTATAGCACAAAGTACCAACTTCTTCCACACTCCTCTACCCAAAAAACATGGTCCAGGTCTGTCACAACAGTCGTGCACTTTGTAGTACCAAGTTCTCTCTTAGTTGAATGAAAAAATGAAATAAAAAGGAGGACATGACTGTTCTTAGGTATGATGGCAGAGAAGGTTTATTATAGATAAAGGGGGACCACAGACAGAGGCAGAACTGACTTATGTGAGAGAGTTTTAGTCCATTATTGTAAAGTACTACTCATAAAATATATTTTTTAATTCATCTATTTATTTTAAATTCCTGTCTGCAGCCTCCTGTAACATCATCACCCAATCTTACCTGTTCTGTTGTATTTGTTTTCTCTTGTAGTGGATGAGTGTTTGTCTGACTACACAGTTGTGCTTCCTGTGGTCGGGGCCATCGTGATCGTCCTCTGTGTTGTGGGTCTGGCTTTCTACAAAATCCGACAAAGGCATCAGTCAATGGGATACCAGAGAATCTAATTTATAACCAAAGGAAATGGGAATAGTGAAGCTTAGAAAAAATTCTATTATGTCCAGCATTTTGGAGGCTTCTCTTATTTGCTACCATCTACTAAAATCAATGAGTGATTAATGAGTAAAAATTGAAGCAATATATCAATTATGAATATTTTTGTTCATCCCATGAAAGATTAAGAAAAATATTTAAAAGTATTTTCTAGGTTTTGTAGGAAAATTTTAGCAATTCAAATGAATATTTGAGATACATTGAATTAACATAATGTACAAGTGGCAGGTGTTTAGAAATTATAAACCAAAATAATTGATTTTAATTAGTCCTACCCGTGTTTGCCTAGAGAAATCCATTTTAGCATTAATATTTTCATTGAAAAATATTTTACTGGGTTTTCTTACCCTCTGTATTGATTTGATGAATGTGTGTCTGACTTGATACTTACCTCCCTTTCCATTTAAATGTTTTTAGTTATCAAAAATAACAACATATCCCATATTGCTTAGTTTTTTTTACATGAAAGCAACTTATTTTTTCTTCATGATTCTTGCTTCAGAATTAATAGAGAATAAGAATTAGCTGTCTGTAGACATAAAAATAATAAAGCATCAGTCATTCCAGCCCTTAGTTAAACAATACACGTGTTACCATAAGAAATTTTCTTTAATCTTCATAATTTATAGAAAATAAAATCTGCCACCAATCACTGGCACTGGACTCCTTTTTCTTCTTTCATCCATTCATTAGAAAACAAGACGAGAACTGGAACTCATGTAGGGCTGCTGTGATCTCTTCTGTACATCTGGTCACAACAGAATGACACAAGTTCTGCCAAAACTTTTTGTACCCATATCTGCTTAATTTCTATAGGAGAAAGGATTTATCTAAAATAATCATTGGATAGATGAAAGGAAGACTGCAGATAATGAAAGTGCCTGCCTTTAACAAATCTTTGGCTCCCTTGGAGACTGTGGGGTTTTATAAGACATGAGTCAGTTCCTCACTTTAGTAAATGTGCTTGCCTATAGCTTTAAAGATAAAAGAAAGAAATTTATTTCTCAAGGTATTTGTTACTATTTTTCCTCATAGCATATTAGTCAAGGTGTTAAATATTAGAGTGGCTTATAGGCAGCTGTCTGCATAGTCCAACAATGCTGTTTGTTGACAGAAAGGCCAAGAATACAGTAGTTCCTTATTCTATGAGACTAGATGTCTCAACAGTCCCAGTCTGTTTGTAGAGTCCTGACATATTCCTGAATAACTGCTGGTCTTCAGTCTGCATTGGAATCCTGAAGTAGTAGGCTCTAATACCTGAATGGATGCCTCAGCAGTAGGACAGGTAAACAAGCCAGTGAGAGTGAGGACAAGAAAGCAAAAAGCAAAAGCTTTCTTTTTCCATGTACTTTTCTATGGACTGACATAGGAAGGTGTGGCCAGATTTAGGGTGGTTCTTCCCACTTCAAATGATATAATCAAGGAAACCCCTCACAGGCATGTTCAGCTGCTTGGTATTTAGGCGATTCCAGATGCAGTCAGACAGATAACCGAGATTTGCCATCACAAGCCTACCCTTTGTCAGCTTGACACACAGTTATGTTTTATGTCAATTTTAAAATGAAAAATCTGGCCCTATAAATTCAACCCATCTTATCCTTTGTTTCACTTGAGATAAGTTCCAATTTCTAGGAATTGAACTTCTGTTTCTTGAAGAGGTCAAATCGAATGCCAAGATTTTGGAGTAATAATAGTTACCTCTGCACCCGTGTCCAGTAGTCCTTCAGTTATAATGTTATTTACTTGCACTGTCAGCTTTTGTCTTTGATAATTTATAGAAGTCTGCCAAAATATATATTTTATATTGGAATTTTTGATTCACCCACCATGCTTATTTTGTCATCCAGAACAGCATGGCTTTTTACAGAAGGCACTGGATTTTAAAGTTTTTCTTGTGAGACATGTCCTCCACAGTAACTGGGAATGATTGGACCATGTTTGACCTGTGGGCCTGTAAGAGGCCATCCAAGGAGTTTCCCAATGGAAGCTGGTGTCTTATCTGTCTTTTGTTGATCTACATTTATTGGTCCAATGTTGGTCTTTGCCACATCTTCTACATAATCCAGAAGATTGAGACCTTCTATTTTTGTCATTGTCATTATTTCTAGGAATTCCTTCTTTACATTCTCAGATGTTCTATTCTACTACAATTAAAACATTTGGCATTTTGATGTCTTCAAATGACAAACCTTAATATATTCAGTAACTTTATAGCAATTTCCAAATGACAAAGAATCTGTAAGAGCTCAATGAACTTCCATGTCAATGTTAAATTTAAGGAGTTTGAGGAAACACTAGTCTTATATGGCATGCGTTGACCTTTTGTGAAGCAAATGTTAAACTCATGGTCAATTTATAATAGAACTATCCCCCAAAGATTGGATAGATTTGGTTGAAACTATTTTAGAGCCTGGTCCACAATTACAATGGAATACCTGGTTCAGAGAAGAGGCTAATACTATTGAACAACAGTGTAAAGCTAGAGGTATGGGAATGTCCCAAGATCAACTTATTGGTGAAGGAATATAAAAAGGCAATCTCTATATGATGGCCACATCCTAGCTTTATTCCATGCAGTAGCTTTGAATTCTTGAGACAGAATTGAAGAAGTATGGAAATGAATTGAATCATTTACTGAAGTCATACAGGGCCCAAAAGAAACCTTTGCAGCTTTCTTACAAAGATTGTCAGTAGTAAACAAAATATAACCAAGTTTAGAAACTAAACAAATTATAATTGAATCTTTGGCTTTTGAAAATGCTAATTCTCAGCGTAAAAGGGTAGTTAGGCTTTTAAATGCAAGGTTAGCACCTTTGAAGGAATGGATCTGAGATACAACTTATATTAAATCTCATTATCATGATGATACATGGATAGGAGAGTTGATTTCCAGAGTTTTGAGGAAAAATTAAAATGTTAAGTATTATAGTGTTGGCAAACATGATCACCTTAAATGGGATTGTAAACAGGGTGATCCTAGAAATAATGTTTTTTTTCTGAACATATTCTTTTTTTATTTTTTTTAATTTATTACAGATTTCTGTCTCTTCCCCACTTCCGCCTCCCTTTCCCCTCCCCCTCCCCCTCCCCCAATCAAGTCCCCC